TTCAGGCTCAATTTGCCAAGGAGGTAGATCCAAAACCAATCTTGTGATGGTTAAACTAACTACCATCATAAAGTAAAAATAGAAACAGGGTAGACATTATCAGAAAGAATTAGAGATATGTATGGAGGTCTACTCTCATGACATTAGAGGGAAGCTTCTTTCTTTCACATTTTTAGCCTCAAATCATGTTGACCAGTCAAGGAACTTGAGGTATGCTGCTTAGGTTAACCATTAGAGGGACACAGTGGATTGGTATCTCATTTGTACCCCAAAACTTCTACTGGCAAAATGTTGTGGCTGGAGCTATCCAATTGGGCAGGGATGGGGTAGGGGAGTGGAGAAGTGGGTACACCAAGAAAATGAGTTTCTTATGAGCCAAACAGAAGTTAACCCAAGAGAAGCTGTGAAAGAAAATGATCCTGATAGTGCGAGGGTGTTAGTATAATAGAAAAACAGGGTGATGTCCAGATAAGTGTGAGCTATTTAAGATGAGCCACAACAAAGATTCAAGAGTGTACCAATTTGGTAATGTCAATGCAGAAGTCTCCGATGGGTCATCAAAAACTCTCAACTGAACCCTCAGATAAGAGTAGGCTTTGCCCATATGCCAAGTTGAGAGACCAGAAATGGCAGCATTTTCCTTTTCCTTCACCATTCTCCTTTATCCATCCTGTACTCTCAATGAATGGGGAACTATGACCAGTGAATGGCAGGGAAGAAGGAAAGACAGGTCTTGCTGTCCCATTCTACCTTTGCAATGTATAGCATTGAATTGAAACATGGTGAGAATTTTTTTAGAGTGCTTTAAACAATTTATTTAACTGAAATGCCATATACTGGCTTTCATTTATTTTGATACAGCTTGTCCCCAAGGTGATTTAGAGGATCTTCAAGCCAATATAAATATTTCATAAATATTTGGCCATTTGAGTATACATCTGCACAATACTTCACATCTTTCAGCAAGAAAAACACCGAAGAGTAAAGACCTGACACAATTAACTGGGTAAAATGAGAATCTGCTCCAAACATTTGTTTCTCTCAGGTAAAGGCACCACACACCTGTTCAATTAAGAAAACCATCCTTACAACACAAGATGATTTTTTATTTTTAACTAGGGTTTAAGGCACTCAGATGCTAATTAGATGCTGCGTGGCATAGCTACATCCCAGCTTCTGCCATGAATTCATAGGGAATAGGTTCCAACGACTCAGGCTCCTTCCCATCGGTTCTCACAAAGTGTGCTTTTCTGGGTGGGGCAGGCTGGCGCTTCAGTTGAACCCAGGTACCTTTCTCCTTGGCTTCCTTCTCTTTCTAATCTTCTTCCTTGATATATTCAGGAAGCTATCTCAACTGTTTTGAGTGTTTAATATGCTCAATACACATATTAATCCTCTTGGCAAGTATCTTGCTCTTAACTCGCTTGTTTACAACAATGCCAACAGCATGCTGGATAACATTGTAGACTCTTCCTGTTGTTGTTGTTGTTGTTTTGTTTTGTTTTTGGTACCGGGCATCCAACTCGGGTCCTTGCACTTGCGCAGCAGGCAGCGAAACCACTGAGCTAAATCCCTGGCCCCAACTCTTCCAGTTTTGCCATGGTAGCATTCCTTTTTGAACAGTACCCATTCCCTTGATGTCTACAATATCACCCTTTTTGTAGATTTGCATGTATGTGGACAAAGGAACAATCCCATGTCTTCTAAAAGGCCTAGAGAACGTATACCCGGTTCCCCTCCTCTTTCCCTTTGTATTCATCATCTTGGCAAATTACTGGAAGATGGTGATTCTGGCCAAAAGGTCATGGTGAGAATTTTATAGAACTGTTTCCTTGTCAGTTCTAAGTAAATCCCATTTCATTCCTTTCTTGGAATAATAAGTAATTAATCAAAAGTACTGAAAATTTGTATTATTCTTTAGTCAATAGGTTCAAATATCTATCGTTGTAAGAATTCTATATTGTAACTTTATATGCATATTGGGAGAAGTATTTCTTTTTATAAATGTTTATGAACATTTCTACTGAATTGATAGTTAAAAACCTAAAAAAGAAAGCATCAAATCCAAACAGTTTCACTGTAAATTTTACCAAACCTTTAAAGAACAAATGATACCAATTCTCTACAATCTGTTCCAGAACAAAGAAGCGCAAGAATAATTTGTAACATTCTATGCACGGCCTGCAGAATGTCATACCAAATCAGACAAAGTTCAATAAAGAAAAATTACAGATGATATTTGTCATGAATACGGTTGTAAAAATCTGCAACAACAAAACAGAAGCAAATCAGCTTCAACAATGTATAAAAAGGATTATATACTATGGCTGAATGGGACTTATTCCAGGTATGCAAGACTCATTGTGATGGTTAAGTTTAAAGGTCAAGTTGCTTAGCTTGAAAGACACCCAGGAGGTCAGTAAACCACACTTCTGGGTGCTGCCTGGTGGATCATGGAGGCGTGACCTTGAGTACCATATCTGGCCCCTGGTACCTTCCTCTCTGTCCCCGCTCTGTTTCCTGACTGCCATAAACTAAGTAGCTTTGGTTGGCCATGCTCTTCTGCCATGATATCCTTGCTGTGGATCCAGATGACTATGAACTGACTGCTGTGAAACTGTAAGTCAAATAAATTTCTCCTCCTTTTTTTTGTCCATGACTAGTATTTGATCTCAGTGACAGGAAAGTTGACCAATACATGAGTTCACCATTTGGAAATCAATTAATATAATGCATCACATCAACAGGCTAAAAAAGAAAAATCTTATGATCATATCAACAAGTGCAGAAAAAGCATTTCACAATACCCGACACCCATTTATCATAACTTTCATTAAAGAAGGTAATAATAGCCTTAGCTTGCTAAAAAAATCTACAAAAGGCCTACAGCTAATGTACTTCATGAGGAAATACTGTACGATTTTCCCCTAAGATCAGGAGCAAGAAAGAATGCTTCCACTTAACACATTGATTCAACGTACTGAAAGTCCTAGCTGATACAAAAAGACACGAAAAGGAAATAAAAGCATTAAGATTGGAAAAAAAGAAATAAAAATTTCCTTTGCTTAAAAATAACATCATTGTCTTGTAGAAAATACAATAATTGTTTTAGTGGGGATTTTTTTGGTGTTTGTTTGTTTGTTTTGGTTTTCTTTTGAGACAGGTTCTCTCTATGTACTTCAGGCTGGCCTTGAACTCGCTACATAGCCCAGGCTGGCCACAAACTTGTGGTGATCCTCTTGTGTCAACCTCTGGAGTGCTAAGATTGCAAGCATGCACCACTACATCCAACAAAAATCTACTAATATTATCAGTTGTTTACAACCTGATCTATAAATTCAGTACAATCTCAATCACAATTCTAGCAAAATACTTCGTGGATATCTGCAAACGCACTAAAGTTTATATGAAAAGGCAAAAGTTCCAGAGTAGCCAATAGAATATTAAAGAACAAACACTATCTGGCATCAAGACTTACTATGTAATGACAGTAATCAAGATGTTAACATGTTGGTGAGAGAATAGACATATATATCAGTACAGTAGAATAGAGAGGCCAGAAATAGACCCACACAAATACAGTCTATTGACTACTCAGAGTTGCATTATTCATAAGTGCCTAAACATGGAAACAATCAGGATGTCTTTTAATGATGATAGATAAACAAACTGTGGTACATCCATAGGATGGAATATTATTCAATATTTGTAAGAAATTGGTTATGAAGTCATGGTAAGATATTGAGAAATTTTAGATGCATATAGCTAATGGAAAGAAGCTAACCTAAAAAAAGTTTGCACACTGTATGATGGCAGCTATATGACAATTTAAAATGGGAAAAATTAAGAAGATAGTAAAGTATCAGTGGTTATCTAGATGTAAAAGGAAGAAGGAGGGGTCTATGAATGGACAAGCAACCTTTAAAGCTGTAAAACTATTTTATTATGACACTGTCCCATAGAACTGTACAAACAAAAAATGAGCCTTAAGGTAAACTCTACTACTGAGTTTCAGTAAGAGTAAACTATCAGTATTTTACATCAGTTCTAATAAATGTAGCATGCATTGTACAAAATTATATGTGGGGACAGAATGGGGGTTATATAGGAACTTTCTGTACAGTTTTTCTGTAAACCTAAAAATTATTATATGCACAAGGTAAAATATAATACCAATTGTATAGAAGTAAATACAGTATGCCGTGCATGGTGATCCACACCTGTAATCCCAGCCCTTGGGAAGCTGAGGCAGGAGGATTGCTGTAGTTCAAGTCCAGCCTGGGATACATAGTGAGTTCAAGGCCAGCCTGTACTACATAGAGAGACCTTGTTTCAAGAAAAAAAAAGAGAGAACGAGAGAGAGAGAGAGGCAAATAGAATAAATAAAATTATCCTCTAAAATAAGATAATTATTTCATTCAGAAGGTGAAATTATGAGAACATGGTTAACCAAAATATAGGAAAGAGGTATGAACTACCCAACACTAGAGAGTAAGAGGAATGTTATAACGGGATCTAGCAGAGTAACATGAAGAAATGTCTGAGCAACATAAAAATAAGCTAGACGCCTTAAGGAGAGTGATGTCTAACATTCACAGTTAAGCTCTTTGAAATTTTTCTATAAACTGCCTTTTCCAAAAGACAGACGTGAAGTCTAACAAACATTCTGAGATATTAGATGATAGATAGATAGATAGATAGATAGATAGAGATACAGACATTCAGACATTATTTGGGGGGAAAAGAGCCAATTTTCACAATTACATTGATGATGGAGTAGAAATAAAACACTGGGTGGTATTGGGTAGAAATCAAAAATTCAGTGAACTCAAGAAACAGTAACTGGATACATCCCTGAGAATATATGTACTTACCACTTGACACACATACACAGATGAAGCATTCACTGGACAACCACACAGCACAGAAGGAGGTAGGAACCAACTTGATTTATTATTTCAACTGCAGTGAATATCTGGGTAATACTTAAAACTACTTACATGTTTGTTGAGTCATCTTTTTCTTGAGTATTAAGTAGTGAATGTTCAGTTGACTCTAAACATGATTCCTCTTTAGAATATAAAGCGTTTACCTTCATACTTTCCTCTGGACTCTCACTTTCTATTAAATTCACATCTCTTTCAAGAACAGAAAAACAATTTTCAAGATGCCAATGTTTTGCCTGAAAAAAAGAAATCTATCTTATTTTTGTATCATTTATAAAACGTGTATGTGTATTTGTCATGTGCTAGATTACTAATTTAACTCCTAGGAACACACATGAGCACACATACACAATATCAAAGAGATGATTCCTGTCTCCAAGGACTTTACACTCTTATAGGGGAGATGAAATATATTCATGTAACTTTAACAAAGAAATCTAGAAGAGTCATAAGAAACAAAAATTCTCTGCAGAGATAATTTTTTGCAATTCTGACTTTAAAATCTTTAATAATAAGGCATATATTTCCTAAAAATTAGAAAAGGAAATTTTTATTGGAGAATTTCCAGAATTAATTTTTCCTACTTTCTTTTCATCTTACCTTCTAAAGGTTAAAAAAAAAACCCTCAAAAGCCATTCCAATTATTGAATATTTTCTCCTGGAAAAATATGATTGTTTTCACAGTTTTTTGGCTACAGTTCTTAAATATGCATCCATCTAGCAAAAGCTCTCCATTGACAATCCATTTCATATTTTTAATAAAAGACTGATTTCTTGCTTTTATATCATTTCAGTCATGCACACAGGAATATAGAACACAGTCTATATGATAGGAGGGAAATATATTCCAACTTTACCTGACTAGCTGGCCTATAAACTGAACAGCCTTGTCCTAAGTGTTTACAAAGTAAAATGCCTAATGGAGCCAATAAGATAATGTCAATGAATGATTGAACCTTATGTAAGATAATACATGGATAGTAAATATCAAAAGAAATTCACATCTGCATTTATTAGTAAGAAAGAAAAGTGGAGACTATCCTGAAACCCTAATTTTTGTAAAAGAGGCTATTGGGTTTGGAAGTAGTTGGATGGTATCTTCTAAGAGTTTATGTCGTGAAATTTCGTTCCCCATGTGTCAAAGGTAAACAAGAGGGTGCAGCCTTTGAGAAATAGGGTGCAATGGGAAGCATTTAGTTTACTGGGCACACTGCCCTGCCTGGAGTTAAGGTAGTTCTTGTACTTGAGTTAGTGCCCCAAGAGGAAGCCTGACCTTCCCAGCTCTCTGGCTTCCTGCCCACCGTATCATCTCTGTCTTGCATGCACTCCTACCACTAAGATGCCATCTTCTGCAAGGCCATGCAGCCATAGGCCTTTGTCATAATCTATGCCATGCTATTTGGACTTTCAGCTCTCAAAACTGTATGCTAACAAATCACTTTTCTTTACAAGTTACCCAGCCTCAGACATGTCATTTTAGTAACAGAAAATGGACTAACAGAGGGGTCATAGTGGCCTCAGAAAATGATGTATGTTCTTAATCAAGAGAAGCAGGAAATCTGGATCTTTCCATGAGATCACTTAATGTTTAAATCAGATTTTAAACACCAGGTGAATAGATTCAAAGCCCCTACCCATCAAATCAATCAATCACAGAGAGTTACCAATGCAGGGGCACAATAGTAGGTGGTGCTTAAGGAGAGCCACTCATGAACTGCAGGTGACGTTTACTTTCTTCTTATCCCACAATCATCTGACAGTTTCCTGAATAAATGTGTATTCATGAATAAACCATCTTCACTCCTATTTCTCAAATTCTAGAAATAGGCCTACCACAGAATGTACTTCTCAAAATTTTACTAGAAAACTAGCCAAAGATCAATAGTTATGTTACAAAAGTGATTCAGAGGTTGTTTTAGAAAAATTGCACAAAACATATGGAATCACACTGCACTGAAATTTAATCAGATTGTGTGTCCTATTTACTAATAGACCAATATTAATTCAACTGAAAGACAAATGCTACATTCAAATGTAGAGCAAAAGTCACTACCTTGTAAAGATCGAATTAGTTCAGTAAGATTTATTCTCATCCTAGTTACATTTGCTAACAGGGATCCTTTTCTATATATATATAACATTTGCCCTTCATAGCTTTCTGTTTTTTCAATATAAAAGACGTCTCCTCTTATACGTCATGGTTAGGAAGTCACTATTCCTATTTTCTAACATTTGTTAATTTTTTTCTTTCCCCCTCCCTTCTCTTCCTTTCCTTCTCCTCCCCTTCTCTCCTATCCTCTTCTCTTTCCTTCCCTCTTCTTCCCTCCCCTTTTCTTTTACCTGTATCCCCTGAGAATAGCAATGTCCATATTCAAGATAGGTTGATAAAAGTGAATCCTTTATTTAAAATGAGGGGAGGTACACAAAACGAATTTGAAAGCCCAACTGTGCTGGCTTTGCTAGTTTTTAATTTCTAATACTGGCCCAACTCTGGTGGCTCTTTTCATATCCTACACAGAAATTTTCTTAAACCATTATTTTCATACAGGTTTTGAGAGGCTAAGGTTTTTTTAATTAAAAAGAAGGAATTAGCAAAAACAACTAAATAAAAATATCCGTGCAGATAAGGCTTTACTAGCACACAGTTATTAATTAAAATAAAATTGAGCTACATATTGTGTTTGGCGGGCACAATTTACATGGCTCTCATACCTAGAATAGTCTTATTTCCTCCTTCAATCCCAGCTAAAGGAGTTATTGCTGCAGACTTCACTCACCCAATGACATCTTCACTGTCATTAGAACTTTCCCCTTACCTCACCAGAGCCTTTGTGAACATCTAGCAATGTTAGTGTTGATCGGCTTCTTGTTTTGCCAATATCAGGCTTCCAATTTCTTTCTGATCCTGACTCCCATTTATGTCCCACCTTGGCTCACCACCACACACCTACTCACACATCCATCTGAAACCCCACTAAGCTATCATCTTTCCTGACTGAGCAAAGTCTAGTACTTGATGTCTTATTTACAGAGTAGAAGACACCAACACAACTGTTAAATATTATATGGAGACTCCTAATTGCTCAGCCATAGTGAGTCCACCACCTCAGATTATTTCTGATTTATCATCATCAGCTTCCATGTCTTAAAGGGTTGCACAGAATTCTTTGAGCTCTGGATTACCTTGTCAAACTGACTTCACAAATACAGCAACAACCATCTGTCTACCAACACTAAGAGAATCACCACACTCTCACAGCATGAGATGGTCGCTGAGGGTACTGAAATGAACCAAGGGAGCTAGTCGAAGAGAACTGTGGCTTCAGCTTTAACTCATGCCACCATGGTTGAAATCAGACTAGTTTTGTCTCAAAAGCAAAAAGACAATGGGAATAGGGTACTTATGAAAGCAAAAGGAAAAATAGCACAGAAAATGAGATAACAAATATTTCCTCTTTCCCATGCTCCCGACTTCCATTTTACTTCATAGGCAGGAATCCATCAGAGTTTAATTTCCTGGAATGAAGGAATTAAAAGCATGAGCTCTGAAACAGACAGCATGAATGAAACTCTGCCATTTATTAGTTTCTGTGAGCTAAAGCAATAGGTTCAAAACTCTCTTGAGAATTCCTTCCTCCTTCCCTACAGTGTAGGACAAATGTGGAGACTTTTGCCTTATATTTGAATGTAGCATTTCTGTTTTAGTTGAGTTAATATTGGTCTAGTAGTTATAATAATGGGATGTATAATCCAATTAAAAATATCTAAGATGTGTAAATATCTTAACTCTTCTGGGTACCCAAGAAATACTTAGTAAATGTTAACTATTATTATTCAACAGAAGTAAACCAGACAATGTATAGGGAGATTTATTTTATTATTTTATTTTATTTTGTAAAATTTCCTGTATTTGATAGGAACGCGTAAATTTTATCCACATTACTTTTTTACTAAATTTTGAAATTGAAAGAATTCATTCATTTTAGAGGAGCAATTTTTCTCAAATATCCCAAGATATTTTGAGTTCTAAAGAGCCACAGTCTATACTTGTCTCTGGGTGTCCTCCACTTGATGGAACAATCATGGTTAATGAAAAATAGGGCAAGAGGTGCTTGATGCTCTAGCTTTGGAAATTTAAGTCAATTTTTCATGACAGATGAATTTTAAATAGATAAGTATAGTTAAATAGAAAGCATGCCACATTCACATGAAAAGTCGAGTAAATACCAGAATAATGGACTAGCACTATTTCTACCTGACCCAAGATCCAAACAGGAGCACCATGGATGCCAGTCACACAAATACTGCAGTCAGTAGAGGCAGAGATAATCAGTAAATGTGCATCCCGCTCACACATCTCCAAGGAAGTTATCTGGTCCTCATGAGGTTGGAAGGACCTGATCAGAGTTGGAGTCTGTGTGATTTTTTTCTTATTTGATTCAAAACAGTATTCCTGAAAGAAAAGAAATACCAGCACTTAAAAATCCAAATACTAAATGATTATAATAATATAACACTTTTTAAAGCCTGATATACAAATTTAAAATGTACATTTGGAAACAATCTCTATTCCAAATCCAAAAATAAGGTCATGATAACAAGCTAGAAAAATGGTGTTCACATTTTTCAAAAGTTTTTCATCGATTTGACTGAGTTGCAAAGTAGAAAGAAAAGAAGTAAAGGAAAGGACAGAAAGAAAAAAATGAACAGCAAAGTCATTGTTATATAAAGACAAACTTTTCAATGTATATGTAGTCACATATTAATAATTTTATAATATTATTTGAAAATTGAGCTAAAAATCAGTAATATAACAGCAGCAACAACAGAAAAACCTAAGTCGGGATGACAATAATATTAGATAAAGGGCCAGTACTCTAAATTACATTTACAATCTCACTTAAAATAAGGTACTGTGTATCTAATTATTTGCATATAAACAACACAACAGTACCTTACTAACAATACTGATTTACCAAGTTAGATGATGATTTATTTGACTGTATATTGAGACGCTTTCAATGTTAAGGGAAATCTGGTTTTCCTCATTATTTTTTTAAAATTTCTGCTCAATACATATTAATGCTTTCTTTAAAATACTGAAAATTGGACCGGGGATTTAGTTCAGTGGTTCCGGCGCCTACCTCGCAAGCGTAAGGTCCCCAGTTCGATCTCTGGTACCAAATAAAAAAATAAATAAAATACTGAAAATTGCCTATCTCGAGATCTGATTTATACAATCAGATATAATTTTATCAGATATTTGTAATAGCAAGACCCAGTCAAAAGCAATGAAAAGGATGTGAGTTTTTTTCAATTTACCTCTATATTCCAGATTTTCAAACATCCATCAAGATCTCCTGTGGTAAGATATCGATTCAGCTTATCAATAGACATGGTAATGGATCCAACCCCACTATGAGCCAAAAATTCAGCCAGAAGTTGTTTCTTAAGTGTATTCCAGAATCTAACATAACCAGATCCTCCACATGATACCAGATTAGCTCCGCCTAATATGTAAAATAAATCTAATTAGGAAACCATAGCAACAAATACCAAAAATGACTTCAAGTGGTTTCTTACATCTTAAACACATGACTTTGTAGAGTCCAGTAGCATTGACATCAATTCTTAGTGACACTTTGATTCTCTAAAATATAAAAATGAGGAAAATCCTATAATAATCTCACTGATTTGTGTTGAGTATTAAATGAGATAGGACACATAAATTGTTCCATTAAATTTAGTTTCCTTTCCTTCCTCCTTTATTCTAATGTGTTTTATGTTTGTTTTTTTTAGTTAGTTAGTTTCTTCACATAAAATTATCAAATGTTAATTTCAACACTATGATAAAAAGAAACCCTGGTCATATAAAATTTATCTTCCCTAATAGTCCATTATATATACATCAAAGAAGTAAAAGTCCTCATGCACAGATTTAGATGCATGTTTGTGGTTATAACAGTATAGCTACTGATTATTAAGTAGCAGGTTTAGAATTCTGTTTGTTAGCTTGGTTTTAAATTTTTCATCAGAAATTTATTGTAAGCCCTTATGAATTTTTTTTTGCTTAACAGATCTAGAACTAAACTTTTCACTCTCCATTTTAATATGCTTTGTAGAAGCACTTTACCTAAATTAGTCTTCTGTGGCAAAGTTATTATTTGACAAATCTGTAGATGATGTCCAAATTGCTTCATAAATGTAGTGGTAATTAACAATCATATCTGTCTGAGGTTGAAAAACTTGCATATAGCTGCTTCAGTGAAAACAATTTGAGAATACTGATAAAGAGAATGTACAAGTAGTAACTCCCTACAATGAATGTAATCATGTATTGCAAACTCGTACTAATAAAAATAAATTTTAAAATATGAAAAATCATTTAAAATACACTTAACTTAGATGAAAGTACAAAGACTATGCATTATTCTCAAAAGCAGATTTTTATTTTGGGTAGATTCAGGTTTCCTCAACATCATGCTAATATAGCCATTGAAAACAGACAACTAGCCAATAGTTATTTCATCTATATCATATCAAATAACTGCAATAAACTATATGGTAATACCAATGTTGGCATATATCTCAGCAAAAAATTAAACCAGGACTCTTACTTATCCTGGAATGTATACACAACCTGCAAATATACCTGGAATGTTCCAAAAAGTTTGAGACAGAGAATGGAACAGCTGTTCTCCTGCCATCAGCAATTGAGTCAAATTTTGCCATTGCCTCTAACTGACAAGCTCCTTATTATTTCCTCCCAGCCCATTTTGATATCAGGTGCCTGTACAGAGAGTGTCGGACTTTACTCTTCTGCTACATGCAGACCTAACCCTTGACACCAACATTTGGGACATGTATCTCACTGTGCCTTCTACCCTACCAAAACATCTCTATACCATCCCTAGAAGGCCAATTTCCATTGCTACCCCTATGAAATAATTTGTCTGAGTATTTCTCACTCTTATGTGGACACATACAGCACTGGATCTATTAGTAAGCAGGCATAATCTGTCTCCTGCTCCTACACCACCTTCCTCAATCTTTACCTTCTTTGCAAGAGCCCATGGCTTTCCACTACTGGATCCTAGCTACATGGAGCCAAATATAGCAAAGCCTGAATATAAATAGATTGAACTTTCTTTATTTTTCCCTTTCCCAACATCAGGAAAAATATAAATACATCTTTTACCTGTTGCTGCAATGTTTTTCCTTGCTTCAAGGAAGCAAAGCCTCACAACAGCATTGTTACCCTCAGTGTCAGTCTCAGAGGTCCGGGCTGCCAAGGGAGCCTGGTCTGCCACGGGGTAAGTGGAGCCTCTTTGTTCAGCACTGTAAAGCTTTTGCGGCTCCATATCTGTGATGAAGACAATAGGGAAAACAGCAGACCCACGTCTATCTTTGGCTCCAGTGATTCCATCAAGGCCCATAATAGATGACCAGCCAACACCATCCAACCTCCTGTTATTTACTTCCTCAGTCACACTGGAAGGATTATTTGATTTAATTTTTGTTTTGTATGTTCTATGCAGTGTTCTCCCTGACGTGAACTAATAGGGATTTCATATCAGAGTTACTTGTGATTTCCCAGAAATACTGATATGTTCAAGACAAATGTGTTTTTAATAACATGTCATTTCCAGTTTATTAATCATTAATAGTAACCATACAAATAATTAAGGTACATGAAATATAACAACTATATATATATATATAGAGAGAGAGAGAGAGAGAGAGAGAGAGAAGTAATAATTTCTTAGCCATGTTATATGTCAGTGAGTTACCCTGGAGAAGACATTCCTAGTGGCACATCAGTTATCTAATGAAAACATCTCAAAGCCATACTAAGGAATTCTGAGAACATTCATCTCAGAATCCATAAGTCTACACATAGCTTTGAAAAAAATCTCTGCAGAAGTATCTTCAAAATTTCAAAGCAAGAAATCTATAGCAATACCTTTCGATTCATTTAAAGATTTGATATTATTTATTTTTCTCTCCTATTTCTCTGTATGCTTATGGTAGCACAATGCAATTGCTATATGAGTAAGGTGGTGCTCTGTTGAAGGTCAAAGTAGAGGAAGCGGCAAAATTCCACCTTTTCCATAGAAGGTGAAGCTGAAACCTAATGGTTAATACTCTGTACATAAAGCAGGTCAGAGCTTTGTGTCGATTGCCAAGTAATCCCTCAATCTCTTAAATTGGTTTTCTTACTCTCAATAAATCACTTATTTAGTTTTACACACACACACACACACACACTGCCTCTGATGACCAGCACTTCCCAAAGGCTGAATTCATTCTCTTTGAGTTCATCCAATTGAGACAATAGAACCTGACTTGGTCATGAGGAATGGCATATTCACTACCCAAAAAAATTAGTCTAAGGAAAAACCTTTAGTATGTAAGAAAATGAAAATAAAATGTGAAAGGCAATTGTCAAGGTATTTTGCTTAAGTATAAAATATTCATGTGCACTGTTAAACTCCCATAAGATATAACATACTCCTGTCTAATGCTCCTCACAGGCTTCTAAAGTAAGGAATAATTTAAGATTTCCAGGTGGCATAACACTTAATACCAACTCTAGATTGAGAATGAACAGCCAATCAAGTGAACACAGTTTCTGTTTTCCTATCAAGGGTACCCAAGGTTCACTCAAAGGCAATTTGGGGAGGTTTATTGGTAAAAACTAAACCAGATAAAAATGAGAGACCTGCTCCCTGCTGTCAGTAATATAGAAATGCTGATGTAGCATAAAGACGAGGAATGACACGTCTTGAAGAATTTACTATGCCAAGTAAAGCTCAAGGCTCTTTTGACTCACTTTGAAAAGACAACAGTGTTACTAATCCTTTGTACTTATAGCCAATCATCTATCATTTAGGAGTAAGCTGCATAAGATACATGAATGAACAACCAGGCCAACCATGGTCTGACTCAGCACCTTACTTTTGTTTCCAATCTCCACTCACCTGACTTTCTTTTTAACAGCCTCTGGTAACAAGGGTGAAGGACATGGTGAGCATTTTCTGTGCTATTGTGCCATAGAATGATTTCTCCATCGTAACTCCCTACATGAGTCAGGGTAAAGAATATAAGTTGTCAGGATATTAGAAAATACAAGCAAAAAATTAAAAGAAATTATTATCAATATATCTTAAACATAGTCACATTCTCTATATATTTTGAATGAACTCAAAACAATTAGTACTTTTATTAACATTAGTCTTACAGTCCACACAGAACAAAGAGTGCAATGGGTATATAGAAATTAATGTCTCCTTTCATTTTAGAGTACGCATTCAGAATAGAGGCATTATGTTGAACAACTTGTGTTGGAGTCCAAGTTCTGTCACTTAGTAGCTGTGTAATTTTGTGTGTGAAAATGCTACAATTTCCTCATCTATAAAACTGGGTTAATAACTGTATCTTATAAGGTTTTGTGCAGAATAAGAAGTATTTATAATGGTGCTGAGCATAGTGTATTAGAAAATTAATTGTCACCATACATTTTTATTATTGTGTAATGAAAAAAATCAAATCCTCCTAGATATCTTTCCCCCACACTGTGTGGGGGTTCTTTTTATTCCCTCTCCTGTACACTTTATAAAATACTGCTTTATCCAGTGTGACAACCTTCCATACAGAAAGTCCTTCACTACAGTTTTTCACAGAGAACAGAGTAAGGCTAGTCTGATGAAGCCTGTCCTGTGGGGGACAACATGGCAGTACCCAGTGGCTTCATGTGGACAGCCTGCTCCCAAGCAAAGTGTCAAGGGCATAGGGAGCATGCGAGAGAAGAGCAGAGTTGCAGTGGGATGTGCACATGGTGACTTTCTTGAGATTTAGGAAAAGGAGAGAGAAATGTACGCTAAACTCTGTATTTCCTGGAAAGAGAAACCTGGATAACTCAAAAATTGGTCAAGGAGAATGGATTTCAGGTGCTTATGCCCTAACCATCTTTCCCCATGATTTTGAGGTGATTTATTTGCAAAGTGCTTCATCAAACATGTTCAAATAGAACTGATAGCATGAATTAAAGAGATTATTAAAGAGATTATTTATCCACTAATACAATTGTATTTTTTCTTTGCCTTAAACCTGCATAGCTTGTTTTATTAATATTACATGGTTACGGGACACGATGCTTACCTTCATCTTAGGGATTCGGTACGTGTACCTAACACATCTGGATTCTTCTTATCCCTCTTCCCCTCCCCACCCACCTCCCTTCCTCCCTCTCTAGATTCCCTTTCCCCATTTTCATTGATGTTGTTATTATTTTTCTTAGCTCACACTTGTGACATATAATGATTACATTCATTGTGGGTAGTTGGTACATGCAAGTGATGCATCTTAAATCTTTTTATGTCCCCTTCCCCTCCCCACCACCCCTACTCTTGGTCTCTTGGTGCCCTTCCCAGTTGCAAAAGCTCTATTTCCCTGTTTCCTTTCATTAGTCTTTTATTTTGCTTTTCATTTGTATTTTATTTGTATTTTTATTTGTTTTTTATTTGTATTTGGATTTTTCACGAGAAAAATCATATGACATTTCACCTTGGGTGTCTGATTTATTTAACTTAACATTATGTTTTCAATGTGTATCCATTTTCCTACAAATGTCTCAAACTTATCCATCTTTATAGCTGAGTAGTATTCCATTATGTATAGGTTTATAATGGTATTTTAGTATACTGTCACAGTAATAACTACACAGCTTTATAGTTAACTATTTCCATCACATTTCAGCATCTGGTCCTCCCCAGAGGTTCCAGTGGCTATAAAGCCAATTAAACTAGACAGTTGGCCTTATCAGGTGATGCAATAACTCTTAAAAAACAATGAAACTTAAATGTAAATAGATCAGTAAATCTCTTTGTTAACACTTCATAGATTCCGTAGTTCTTTTCCTTTAAGTTTTCATTCCTCTTCATTGATACCATTTCAGGATCAAAAAAATAATTAGGCTGTCAGAACACAGACTTCAAGATCTCATGATGCCACCTGTTTTTATAAATAGCTTTCTTTGCCCAGAAATGATACAACAATGTTGATATCCTTTAATATGTTACATCAAATCATACCCATGGGATCATTTAAGAGCTTGGATTTATAGACATTTTGTGAGGAGTCTTTCCTGACATTATCAGAGCTAAATTATGCAAGAAGGTTAATATGTTCTCATTAGGAAACATCAAGTGACACCACTGTGTGATCATATCTAATAGTCCTCATGCTGCTCTTGAAAACTGAACAATAAAAATCAAAGGTAGCATTTACTTATTAATCTGTGTATTATTTACCAAACACTATGTTGAATCCTTACACAAGTAATCTGTATTTTATTTTTTTATCTTTCTATGCTATTTTATTTATTATGATTTTATTTTGGAGTTTTTAAGACAGGGTCTCGCTATGCAGTTCAGGCCTTGAACTCACTATGTAACCCAGGCTGGCCTCAAACTCACAGTGATCCTCATCCCTCAGCCTCTTGAGTACTTGGATTACAGGTGTGTGACACCATACCTGGCCTTGAATGTTATTTTAAATGCCACATATTTTGAAAAATAATAAAGAAATAATCTTTACTTTAAACCAAAATATAGATTTTTTTATTAGCCAAAGAAAACCATAATTTGAAGATTCATAATTTGTACAATATCACACTGTGGCAAGTAACGGAACAAGGATGTAAATCCAGAGAGCCTTCATAGGAGCTGATGGTCGTAACCATTAAAATATTGTCCTTGAAATAAGGACCAAAGGGAGTTTCAAGGGTAAGGGTTGTTTCTTCAGGAAATCTATTCATTTTTCAGATGAGAAAAGTATTTTTTTTTAAATGAGCCAAAACAAACCAAACCGTCTTCAACCAATTGTGGAGCGAATGTTCAATTTACCTGTGGCAAGAGTTTGTGGAGGTAAAAATGCAACACACAAGATGTCATCGTAGTGTTGGATTCCTCCTTTCCATTCTTCAGACTGGATGAAAAACTGATTGAACTTCTGTGGTCGAAACACAGTAATAGCTCTAGTAAAAAGGATATGGAATTTAGCTCTGTATCTAACACTGATATAGATATTGAGTAGCCATTATCCACTGGAATGGCATGATTCAAGAAGGCTAAAAGACTTCTCCACTTGGGTACCATAAAACTACTAAGACTTTTATAGCAATAGTAATACAAATTGGGGTAGATCTATAAACTATATCTATAAACTATAAATACTGCTTGGTAGTTTCAACAAAATCAATGAGATATCTCATTAAAGCTTCTCATGTTATAATTCCTTGTGGCATTTCCCGGACTTCAGTGGCCACAGAGTCTATTCTCCTGGAATTCATTAAGTCTGGAAGAGCTACCAGTTGTAGGACACACTTGCAAAATGTCACACACAAAAAATGAGACTTAGGACAGATACTTCATGAACCAAAAGAATAGTTTAAGAAAATTGAGCATCCTGAGACACTGCTAACAAATTGGAGTGCAGACAAGAATGGACAGGGAATGAATGTCTGGTGCCTAGTGGACAAGGGAAGAATTGTAGACATTAGATTGTAGGAGTATCAGTATCACCCTGAGTCCACTCAATGATCTGAGCTTGGTCACCAGCCTGTGCTAAGCCTCTCCTTCCTTCCGTAGCCACACACATTTCAAATGAGCATTTGTAATCATAAGCTCGATGTCTTTGTCTCATTCTCTCTTCACCTCCCTGAAGTTGTGCTTCTCTCCTCGCCACTCTATAGGTTTCCTAATTGTCCTTTCAGTGTTACTCATCAGCCTCACATGGAAGGACTTTCTTCCCCTCACTGGAACATTTTTACTGTCAGAACCTCTTGCATCTCTTCCTACCTCCCTTATCTTTTATTCTCCACTCTCTAGTTCCCTTCCTTTCTTTCTCTCGGCCTTTAATATGAACATTTCTTACTGTCATTGCTCCACTCCTTTCTATCCATTCAAACAGCCCTAACCAAAGATCCAGTGTACCACCATGAGTTCCCATCTCTGTTCTGTATAAATGGCTCTAAGCTGATCTTCATTCATAAGCTTTGCCAATGTTGAATAGTTTCCATTTTCCAGTTGACAATTCCATATAATGTTTCCTTCAGTGGTAGATCTTAATACATAAAAAATCAGACTTTGCCATCTTCACTCCACACCATGCCTCTATGCTGAATTTTCAAATTTGATTCACAGATCAGTCTTACAGCCTCCTGAGTGTCACTCTTTTCCCTAGTTAAATCAAATACTTAGAGTTTTACCTCTGCCATATGTTATATATTCAAACCATGCTTTTAGAATTTTAAGCAGCCAGTGATAGGTTCCTAGTTTAGTGCTCAGTACTCCATGGCTGAACAGTTGTAACAATCTTCAAACCAATTTCACTGCCTCTAATCTACCCCCCTCTGGTACATTCTTCACTCTGTTCCTAGGTTACTCTTTCCATTTATGGGCTCCTAATATCCATTCATTCTGCATGAATTTCTTAAAGTCTCTGTCTGTGGGTGCCACAGACATAGAGCTATGCATATAAAATAACTAAAGTGAAAAGTGAAACGTGGTAAATGTTAAGAAGCGCTGATCAACTGCCATGAAAGTCCACAGCAGAAATCATAGATGGCATAATTGAGAGGCTGATATTTCAAATGGACCCTAAAAGATCAAGATTAGGAGCAGGAAACACTCTGGGTAGAATAAATAGCGTGATAAAAGATGAGACCAATATCCTATTTCAGAGGATTTCTTGTTTCCATTTCCTACAGGATAAAATTCACATGTGTGGGCCTGTTTCTCAAGATCCAATAATGCATAAGTCCAGTTATTACCCTGGCTTTTCCAAGTTATATGTGAATGTCCACTTAAATATTTGACAGGAGCACTGGAAGCCATAGGATAAATATGATATACCTTCCTAAATTTTGATCTTGCACAGAGTATTGAGAAAATATTTTTCTAATAAAATAAAAATAGATTAACACAATAAAATGCAAAGTTTCCCTAAATTTTAAAGATAGAATATAAGTTTTCAAGTCTGTTTCTTTGCTGAAGGAACTGTTTTGAGCTCTCAAGGGTATTCAGGGGCTGAGTTTTGGAAACATGCCTTCTTGTCCAGCCCAAACTATAATCTTTTGCCTTCTCAGCACCCTGCACATTTCTTTTTTTTTTCATTAATTTTATTGGTACATTTGAGGTGCACAGTATGCTGACATTTATCATTGGGAATTTGTATGTTTACATAATATATCTTGGTTCTTATTTTTTTCCCCATTTCCCTGCCCTCCGTTCAACCCCTCCAGCCCTCCCTATTTACAAAGACTTTGTTTCCATTTTTTCATTTACTCATATTAATTCCACTCCCTTCTTTCCTTTCCTGTACCTCTCCCACTTCCCCTTCCCCTTTGGACCTTTTCTTCCTATTTCACATTATCAATTATACATTTTGATCCTTATATACACTTTCAGTTTCTCACACCAGAAAAACTATTCAGTATTTACACATGTGTGTCCTATTTATTTTACCTAAGAGTATCAGCTCAATGTCCATCCATTTAGCAATAAATGTCTCTAGTTTCTCATTCTTTATGGCTGAGTAGTACTCCACTTTACTTTTTAAAAATGCGTTTTCTTTATCCAGTCTCCAGTTGATGGGCAATTGGGCTGTTTCCAAGTTTTAGCTATTTACAAACTGTACCACTATGAACATGAGTGTGCATATATCGCTGTGGTATGATTCTTTTCATTTCTAACTGTTTTGTTTTTAATCACGATATGCTCTTCTATCCCTCTATGGATTTGCTTTCACATGCAGCCCCACATCTACCTGTCTGCACACCATTCTCTAAGGTTCTTTATTCTATTAGGCTTCTATAATAAGAACCTAAATAGCTCCCTCTTCTGACCTCTTCTTTCATTTACATCACAGTACTGTTTGATAGATAATTTTGGCTCCCTGGCTAGATGGTTAAAGTCTTAGCAACAAGGGATCTTGTCTTAGTCTGTAACTCATAGTAGCTGACATAGTGATCTACACACTGAGTATTCATCAGTCTGTTCAGATGAAGGAGGGAAAAGTGCTGTCTCTGCTTAAATGCCAGCTCCCCGGTAAGTCTTCTTCCCTGTCCCCCATCTCAAGACTCTCCTGAGTCTGTCATCCCTCATCCTTCTCCATGTTGCTCTGCAATGCTTATCACTGAATGGTATAATGTTCTGTTTACTGTGTTCATTTGTCTGGTCTTTTTATGTCTTTTCTATCATAAAGTAAGCTCTAGGAAAGCAAGAATATTTCTTTCTGTCTCATCAATGCCTTGAACAAAACTTAGCACATAATAGGTGCTCAATAAATGTAAGAGCTACTTTTCTATTTTTTAAATGATTTTAATATTAGTATTAGTTCCATAATGAGGCTTAGCAAGATAATATAAATAAGGTAACCAAAGTTCTGAAATGGCAATTAAGTTTCAAAATGACTTTTAAGAATATATTTTAAAGTTTCTCCTTATTATTGGTAAGTTTGGCTGAAGAGATTACCCTTTAAGGATGAAGAATATGGACAAGCCACCAGGACAGGCTTTCCACCAGCCACCAGGACAGGGTGAGGAGGACCCCCCCCCAACCCCCCAGCAGGTCCACCAGCTGATGGCTGGGCCAAACAGAGCCAGCGGGGTCCAAGTGGGGCCAAGCAGTTGCAGGCTGACCAGGACCTGCTTGCTCTGGCTTGCTCCACCAGCTTTCCACCAGCCACCAGGACAAGGTGAGGAGGACCAACCGAGGCAGGCCCACCAGCTGACAGCTGGGCCATGCAGGCACCTCCAACAATACACCTCACCCCTGGCCTCTGGCCTTTTGGCTGTGCAGCTACTTGGTTACACACTGCAGAGGCACAGGGGGACAAAAGCTATTGTCCTGAGCTCCAGAAGTGAACAACAGAGAGAGTGCCTGTCTCAGGCTCCCTGATGAAAACAAGCCCACTGGAAAAGTGAAGGGAATCTCTGCAATAAAGGCACACCAGACCGCCGTGATTGGTAAGTTGGAGGGGTTATCAGCTCCCATCAGAAAGTGGACTTTCTTCAGGGGAAAAGCAGATGAAACCTGCAGTAGAAACTTGCAGAGTGCAACCCTGCAAGAGGACAAGGAGCTCAACTTAGGACTTGCAACCAGAAATCTCCCTGAATCTCACGGGTCTGGGACTAGCTTACTGAGACTCATTGA